TGTTTAGGACCTCGCTGAAGTGTTCTGCCCACCTTGCCTCTACTCTCTTGCTTCTCATCTGTTTTCCACCGCCTATTGTAACTCTTTAATGTCATTTTTCACTGCCAAAGTAGACAAGATTTACCAGCAACTGACTCCTAACATCTCATCTCTCCCAGTCTTCTTACCTCCTCTCTCTCACTCACTTTTAAGTTTCAAACTTCCTTCTGTTGCTGAAATATCTGACCTCATTCAGAAATCAAAACCATCTACCTGTCCATTAGACCCTCTCCCTACTGTCCTAGTAAAAGCTTGCCTACCCCCTCTGTCTTCCCTAATAATGGTCATCATACATTCCTCCCTCACCTCTGGTCTTGTTCCCATTTCTTTCAAGTCAGCTTCAATAACCCCTATACTTAAGAAACCTGCTGCAGACCCAAATGACTTCAATAACTTCCGTCCTATCTCCAATCTATCCTTCCTATCCAAAATTCTTGAAAAAACAGTTGCATCTCAGGTTCACACTCATTTGTCTGACAATAACCTCTATGAACAGTTCCAGTCTGGTTTCCGCCCCCTCCATAGCACAGAGACAGCACTGGTAAAAATCACCAATGACCTCCTCATGGCAGCTGATTCCGGACTTCTAACCATCCTCATCCTCCTTGATCTAAGTGCAGCCTTCGACACCATCTCCCATCACTCCTTGACAGACTTGCCTCCATCGGAATCACTGACACACCCCTGCACTGGTTTTCATCCTATCTCTCTGGTCGTACTCAGTTCACTCAACTCGGAACCTTCAAATCCCAACCATTTCCAGTCACCACCGGTGTTCCTCAGGGTTCTGTCCTGGGCCCCCTTCTGTTCATCATCTATCTCCTTCCTCTTGGCCATATCTTCCGTAAGTATAACATTCAGTTCCATTGCTATGCGGATGACACCCAGCTCTATCTGTCCACCAAACCCAACTCCTCCCTCCCGCCCACTTCCCTGATTGATTGCCTGCAAGAAATCAAATCCTGGTTCACCTTCAACTTCCTCAAATTAAACAGTGACAAAACCGAGCTTCTCCTCATCGGCACCAAATCAACAATCTCCAAACTTGACAGTTTTTCTCTGGCTATTGACCACTCCTCAGTTTCCCCTTCCCCTCAGGTTAAGAGTCTGGGTGTCATCCAAGCTCACATCAATAATGTCACCCGGTCTGCTTATTTCCATCTACGTAACATTAATCGCCTCCGCCCGTCCCTCACTCCCAGCAGTACCGCCATCCTTGTCAACACCCTGGTTACATCCCACATTGACTACTGCAACTCCCTTTTCTTTGGTCTCCCTCTCAAGTCCATCCACAAACTTCAACTGGTCCAGAATTCTGCCGCTCGCATCATCACCAGAACGCCCTCTGTTAATCACATCACCCCTGTCCTACAGCAGCTTCATTGGCTCCCGGTTAAACATCGCATCACCTTCAAAATTCTGCTTCTCACCTTCAAGGCCATCCACAACCTCGCTCCGCTTTACATCTCTGAACTCCTGCACATCAACATACCTACCCGCACTCTCAGGTCTTCTTCTTCCATTCAACTCACCACCCGCCCGCCTGTCCACCATGGGGTCCAGGGCCTTCAGCCGCTCTGCCCCCCACCTCTGGAACTCCCTCCCACCACAAATCCGTAATATTGACACTCTCTCCATTTTCAAATCTCATCTCAAAACACATCTTTTTAAACTGGCATATTCAGTCTGATCATTCTCCACCCGTTCTCATTACTCCTTTACATCCTGTACATTTGTGTTTTTTAATGTTAATTTTATCGTTGTGTTGTTACCTTATTGTTTTTTTATCTCTGCTCTGTAAGGTGACCTTGAGAGTTTTGAAAGGTGCCTTTAAATAAAATGTATTATTATTATTATTATTACTTCTGCCTCTGATGTAAGAGTTCGCCCTTGTTTGTCAGTGATCGGCGTATCTATAGCTCTATGGTACCTACCGCAGACTATTTTGGTAATTTTATAGCCCTTACCTTCCTCTCCCTTGTTTGCTGCTTCTTCTGCCTGGTCTGCAAGACTTTTTATATAATTTCTCTTGTTTTCTCTTGCCATCCTCTTAACTGTTCTGTCGGTTTCCCTATATGGTTGCTTGTATTTCTCTTTAATCCTTTCTGACTTGGCTTCCATTAATTTCTTCTTAAGGGCTCTCCTATCTGCTATGACTTTCCAGGTGTCTGCTGTAATCCACTTTTTTCTGTTCCTTTGCTTTATTCCAAGGCAGACTTCACTGCTATTGGGGTAAGCGGTTTTGATCTGTTCCCATTTCATGTTGGCATCATCAGGTCCTTTTTGTGTGTTGTCACTCGTGTCTGCCAGAGCTTGGAATCTGTTTTTCAGCTGTAGTATAAAAGCGGCCTTCACTTTGGGGTCATGTAATTTCTCCACGTCAAAATGTTGCTGTCCTATTGTCTTCTAACTGGCACTCCTTAATTTTAACTTCAGCACTGCTGTGACTAAGTGATGGTCACTGCCGACATCAGCTCCTCTCCTGACTCTGACGTCCAAGAGTGATCGTCTCCAGGTGCCATTGATCATTAGATGGTCTATCTGGTTCCTGTCTCTTCCATTGGGGGAACACCAGGTGAGTTTGTGGATGTCGCAATGTGGGAATAGGGTACCTCCGATGACAAGGTCATAAGTGGTACATAACTCTAACAGCCTCTCTCCGTTTTCATTCATGATGCCGCAGCCCTCCGTCCCCATGGCCCTGTCATAATTTTGGTTATTGCTGCCTAATTTTGCATTTAAATCACCCATTATTATCTTTATATCATGTTGTGGAGTTTCTTCTAATTCAGCTTGAAGCTGGTCATAGAATATGTTCTTGGTTATTTCATCACTGTCATTTGTTGGTGCATAGCATTGGATGATTGTGATGTTAATGTGTTTCCCCCACAATCTGACTTTCATGAGTCTGCTGTTTACAGGTTTCCATTCCATCAGACATTTCTCCACTCCTTTTCTAAGGACGATGGCTACCCCTTCATGATGTTGGTTGTCATCTCTTCCGGAGTACAGGACGGTCTCTCCTGTGTTGGTTTTGTGTCTGCCTGTTCCTGTCCACCTACTCTCACTTATTCCGAGAATATGCAGGTTGTAATTTCTCATTTCTGCTGTGACTTGAGTGAGTTTACTTGTTTGGTACAAGGTTTGCACATTCCAGAATCCAATTCTGGTCTTGCATTTTGTGTTGAGGGCACCCACCTTCCTGTCAGTAGCTTCCTTAAGGCTTTCACTACTGACATTCATTCTATTTTCTTTCGATAACTCTGGAGGCCCATTGTACACAGTAGTGTTTTTTTCCTTTGTTGCCGTTTCCCTAACAATATTTTTTCTACGGGACTGGGTTGTTAGCCCTGTGTCCAACCCCCAACCTGGAGGACCAATGGATTGCACTTTGTCAGACCTCTATCCCTCGACCTGACCGACTTGGGTGACCAAGTTATGTTTATTCTGAATTTCCCCCTGGGCCCTCATAAAGTATAATCTGATTCTGAAACCACATAAAAAAAATAATGTCTGTAATTTTTTTTGCTTTGTTCCCCTTTGTCATGATGCTTGAATGTATTGTCGGTCGATTCAAAAATATTCCAGAAGAAAACCGACTTTGTGAGATGTGTGATTTGGACGTAGTGGAAACTGAGTCCCATTTTCTTTTGCATTGTACAAAATATTTAAGAGACTTATTGTTTCATGAAGTAGTTTTATACTTTTTCACATAAAAACAGCGCTGCAATCAAAATCACATTTCAGGAGTGACATGAATACATAAATAATGTTAAATAATGTTAGGAGACTGTCCATTAAAAAATGTGAGTGTGCTCAAAGTCCATGTGCAGCCCAGGTCAGGTATATTAGTGATTGGGAATGTGTGGGTTGTAGTTTGGCCTGCTGCTCTACTGTTTGGAAATTGTTCAGCAGCGATATGGAGTGAGGAATGAAAGAGTGTTTATACTTGTTCCTTTTACAGTTTGGCACCCTAAATCGCCTCCCAGAGGGCAGGAGCTGATACTCCTCATGTAGGACATGCAAAGGGTCGGAGGCTATCTTCCAAGCCAGTCTGAGGGTGTGCTTAATGCAGCTCACGAGGAAAGAGTGTTCAATACAACGACCCACCATCTTTGAGCAGATGCCCTGGGGGAGGGTCAAATTGTGCTAGATGTTACAAAAAAACAATGCAAAGTAATCGTAGAGTAGTCGGAGGACAGCAAAGACAAAAAGATATATACTACAAAACACTGAGACATCACTTGACATTGAACCAGCAAAGACTTTACAAAACAATACAAAATACATGAAAAAGGATTAACATTTTAAACAGCTTAAATTTCTATTTCTATTTCTGGTCAGTTTTTATTCACCAATGTGTGTCTTTTCTGCAGAACTTTATGATTCTGAGCTCATCTTTTTGTCCTTTTTTTTGTTTCTTCTACACAATAATGAATGCATTTATTGAAGACTATAAACATGTGGACTTGACAATTGTTTCTGCATTAATTCAGCCCTGCAAAGTGACATAAAGCTGATATATCATGGAGTATGACATTATTTTGTTTGGTTTATGCACTTGTAAAAATGTAAACATGATCCAGGCTGTGATTTATTTTCTGTGACACATGGTCATACAGTGATCTTATCATTGTTGTTTTTTTCTGGGTTGGTGTTTTTGTTTAAAGAGGGGTCAAAACTGTTTGATGCAGAGGTGTCAAAAGTATTCACATTCATTACTCAGATAGAAGTATAGATACTAGGATTTAAATGATTATTGCACATGCCAGAGAGAGAGAGAGAGAGAGAGAGAGAGAGAGAGAGAGATGTTGAGCTACAGGAATTATTTATGACAGCCTTTTCCCTCCATAATCACAGCTACACACAGGGATTAAACATAAGAGAAGATATGAATTTTGCTTCCATTCAGTGAAAACCTCTACATGTACTTCTTACTCTTCAGCGACCCCTCAGCCTCTCTACAGCATTTTGGCCTCACGGGAGCCAGGCTGCAGGATCTGCAGAGTGACAATGAGTTTCACTGCTTTTCTAAACCAGGGGTAAAATAAGGCATATATCAAAGGGTTCACGCAAGAGTTAAAGTAGAACAGAAACACCACAAATGATATAAATGCATCACTGAGCACACTGTCCCCTACAAGAGACAAGATGTAGAATGGACAGAAACAAATCAGAAACACTACGACAAGAACACCAAGAGTCCGGGCTGCTTTCAGCTCCGATTTGTTCACAGGGAGAGCGAGTGAGAGCTGGAGGGAGACGGCTGTAACATGAGAGCGCATGGCTCGAGCCTGAGACACCGCCACAACAAACACTCTCATGTACAGGAAAATGATGGCAGAGATGGGAGCTATAAAGGTTACAACAATGTCAATATATAGCATTCGGATGTCATAGACTAACACACACTCTCCGTAGCAGGAACGATACCTGCCCGGTTGACTGATTTCTTCCTTCACTAACAAAGTGTTGAAACAAAACGAGCAGAGCCAGCACAGACAAACACAGGCAGTAGCTCTGCTCTGAGTGACCCTGGTGGAGTAATGCAGAGGGTCACAGATAGCAACATAGCGGTCGACAGATATGAGAACCATGTCTCCTACTGAAGTAAATAATATGGTAAATATTAAATAATTCGACAGAGTACACACATGGTCACTAAAAAACCAGCAGGAGGTTTGTAAGAGGATATAATTCGGCATCAGTATGAGGCCTACGAGGAGATCTGACACAGCCAGGGAGAGGAGGAGGATGTTGGTGGGAGTGTGGAGCTGCCTGGAAAGGAAAAAGAAAAGTATCAAACTAGAAGTTATCATATCTAAAAAAAACAACTAAAAGAATCATTCTTATTCCAGTTGTTGAGGTGATTGTGAAATGACCCTATGAGGATCGGGGCAAATGCAATGACATTTAAACAATTAACAAGAGCACACATAAAGTCATCAAAAGACCAGCAGGAGATATTTAAGGGGAGAGAGTGCAGCTGCCTGGAAGAGGAGAAAAGCAAAATCTGATCCAGAAATCATCATTAAATGACAAGACCGTTATTTCAAAAGCAATTCAAATGTGCAAATTTGCATCCGTTTTTTCCCACCATTTCAAACACAATTTTTCAATAATTGTACCAAAGCTGTTCCCATTTTGAGGTTGAAATTAACTTAAAGAGATTCAGAAAAATAAATCTTTGCCTGAAGTGAAACACGGAGATGATGATGAGCAGGTTGAGAGCAACGATGAGCAGAGAAGTGGAAGGAAACAATACAAGAAGAAACAAATTTTCCGCCAAGCTGGTTGTGGGTTTCTTACAGGACGTGTTGAAAAGATGTGGGAAGCAGAGCTCTGCTCCAACCTCGACCTCCATCTTCTGCAGACAGCTGCAGCTCTGGCAGCTTTCTGGACTAAGTAAAGACATTTAACAGATTCCACTCACTCATTTTTTTTTGTCACTCTCCGTGATTGTTGTAAGAGGTAGCTCCTCCTGCTTTGTGTTGCACATCACCCCCATCATCGTCATCTCTTTTAACTCAATAATTTGAGGATAATGACCAAGATGGCGGCGCGAGCGCATCGCGAGGCCCAGCGTCTCTCTCAGATTTGCAATTTTGCAGTAATTTTATTGTTAATTTCGGGTCTGTTCGCACGGAACAGCCTCGCCTTAACATCCTACACTCGACAGGAACTTTTGGATATTGGAATACACCTCCCTGACGATCTAATCAACAATCTTCAACTCATCCCTGAGATCGCCAAAACACCCGAGGCTACGCACTCTACCCGGCCGGGCGGAAGTGCTCGCAGGCGGCGTCGAGACCGTAAACAAAGGCGGGGGAAGCGCGGAGGTATAAGGGCTAAGCTAAAGCTAACATCGCACCGTCTCCCGTTACCCAGCATTTTCCTCGCTAATGTGCGGTCTTTGGTGAACAAAATGGACGAGTTACGACTTCGCATCATCCACAGCAAGAGAATTATGGACTGTAATGTCATGATCTTCACGGAAACATGGCTAAACAACGGAGTACCGGACGATGCTATCAAGCTAGCCGGTCGCCACACACACCGAGCAGACAGAACAGCAGAGGACTCCGGTAAGACCAGAGGAGGAGGGCTGTGCATTTATATTAACAAAGCTTGGTGTACAGACTCTGTCATTATTGGGAGACACTGCTCAGCTAACATTGAGTTTCTCATCGTTAAATGTAGACCTTTCTATCAGCCAAGGGAGCTCAGCTCCACTATTGTAACTGCAGCATACATACCCCCTGATGCCGATGCAAAAGCTGCTATGAAGGAACTTTACACCGCTATCAGTAAACAACAGACTGCTCACCCGGAGGCTGCATTTATAGTTGCAGGTGATTTTAATCACTCAAACTTAAAGACAGTGCTCCCTAAATTTCACCAGCATGTTTCCTGCAATACAAGAGGAAACAAAACTCTGGACCATGTTTACACAAACATCGCAGGAGCCTACACCACGACCCCCCTCCCCCACCTGGGACAGTCAGACCATCTTTCTTTGTTCCTCATCCCCAAGTACTCCCCACTCATCCAACGTGTGAAGCCATCAGTAACAACGATTAAAGTGTGGCCAGCGGGGACAGACTCTGTACTTCAGGACAAGTTCCATCACACAGACTGGAGTATGTTTGCTTCTCAGGCTACCTTGGGCTCTCACACAGACATTGACACCTACACTTCTTCTGTGCTGGATTATATCAATACCACCATCGACAGTGTTACAACATGGAAGCAGATCACCACGTACCTTAAATCAGAAGCCATGGATGAACAAGGAGGTGCGTCTCCTGCTGAAGGCCCGCAACACCGCCTTCAGATCAGATGATGCAATGGCCTACAGCGTATCCAGGGCAAACCTGAGGAGGGGCATCATCAAGGCCAAGCACTGCTACAAGCTGAAGGTTGAGGAACACTTCTCCAACTCCGACCCCAGACGCATGTGGCAGGGCATCCAGGCCATCAGTGACTATAAACCCAGAAACTCCACCCCGATAACCACAGATGTCTCCTTCCTGAACGAGCTAAATCACTTTTATACTCGTTTCGATAGAGACAACAGAGAGACGCAGACCACGACCAGACCTCCTGCAGACAACCAGCCCCTCTCACTCACCTCCACAGACGTCCACGCTGCACTGAGCCGGATCAACGCTCGAAAGGCTGCTGGTCCAGACGGCACCCCTGGGCGCGTGCTGAGAGCATGTGCGGAGTAGCTCACTGGGGTTTTTACGGACATCTTCAACCTGTCCCTCGCCCAAGCAGCTGTGCCAGCATGCTTCAAAGCCACCTCCATTGTCCCAGTGCCGAAACACTCCAGCCCGACAGGCCTGAATGACTACCGCCCTGTGGCACTCACACCCATCATAATGAAGTGCTTTGAGCGACTGGTCCTAGCACACCTGAAAAACTGCCTCCCACCCACACTGGACCCATTCCAGTTTGCCTACCGCAGCAATAGGAGTACAGAGGATGCAGTCTCCACTGCGCTGCACTCTGTGCTCACACATCTGGACAATAACAACACATACGCACGAATGCTGTTTGTTGATTTTAGCTCAGCATTCAACTCTGTCATCCCCTCCAAGTTAAACACTAAACTCGGAGACCTGGGCTTCAACACCTCCCTCCGTCACTGGATAATGGACTTTCTGACCAACAGACCCCAGTATGTTAGGTCAGGACACACCTGCTCCACCACCATCACACTCAACACAGGCGTACCACAGGGCTGTGTGCTGAGCCATTCCTCTACTCCCTCTTCACCCACGACTGCAGACCTGTACATGGATCCAACACCATCATCAAGTTTGCGGACGATACAGCGGTGATTGGCCTCATCAGCAACAACGATGACACGGCCTACAGGGAGGAGGTACAGCATCTGGCCGCCTGGTGTGCTGACAACAACCTGCTCCTCAACACCAGCAAGACGAAGGAGATCATCGTGGACTTCAGGAGAGAAGAGGAAGCACGCACAACCCCATTCACATCAACGGGATGGCTGTTGAACGTGTCTCCAGCTTCAAGTTCCTGGGGACCCACATCACAGAGGACCTCTCCTGGTCCACTAACACCTCCAGTCTGGTTAAGAAGGCTCATCAACGCCTCTTTTTCCTGAGGACACTGAAGAGACACCACCTGTCTTCAGCTGTACTGATGAACTTCTACCGCTGTGTGATCGAGAGCATCCTGACCAGCAGTGTCTCAGTCTGGTACGGAAACTGCTCTGTCGCAGACCGTAAGGCGCTACAGCGGGTGGTAAAAACCGCCCAGCGCATCACAAGGTGTCCACTTCCTGCCATTGAGGATGTCCAAAGAACACGCTGTCTGCGGCGAGCTCATGGCATCCTTAAAGACTCCTCCCACCCTGCCCACAGACTGTTTACCCTCCTGCCCTCCGGCAGGCGCTTCAGAAGCCTCCGGACCAGAACCAGCAGACTGAGGAACAGCTTTTTCCCCAGAGCTGTCTCTCTACTGAACTCTACCCCCCGAACTCTGAACTCTGTCTCTCTCTCTCTCTCTCCCTCTCTCTCTCCGCCCCCTGCTGACCCCCCCCCCCTTTCCCCGCATATCACCTCACACCCATCATCCCCCCACCACTCCTCCTGGTCACACACACACATCTCTCATCCATCTGTATTATTGTATTATAGTATGTTCATATTATGTCCATATTCTTTATATTATCTGTAAACTAGTATAGCATGCTCACTGCATCTTAATCTGTATATTATTAGTATAGCATGCTCACTGCACCTTAATCTGTATATTATAATCCTAAAAATACACTTATTTTGTAGCATTACTTATTTATAGCATTTATTTATATTTATAGCATCCCATTAATCCAGCCATCCAGATATTCCTAATAATTCACTTTTTTTGTCCACATCTGTACATTTTGTAATTACTGTACATAGCACAGACTCTTGCACTTTCTGCTTATTTGCACTTCTGGTGAGATGCCAAACCTCATTTCGTTACTCTATACTTGTATATGTGTAATGACAATAAAGTTGAATCTCATCTCATCTCATCTCATTTACCTGTTTACATGTCAAGAAAGATAAAAGAGTGAAATTAATTTAGTAACAAAACACCACTCTGTTTTGTGATGGTCAAACTATTGTCATTGTGACTCAAAATCACTGACTCTGGGGTCTTCAAAGCAAAGCTCAGGTATACAGAACTGTAGTTTGTTAGCTGTGCCAGGTTCAGGTGAGGTTGCTGTCACTTTTATTATCTGCATGGTCTGTTGTTAATTAAGATTGGTGGTTTTGCCGACATAATTTCTTTTTGCATCGCAAAGCTCGCAGATGGCATTTGTCTGATTTAAATCATCACCCCCAGTTTATGTTTCAAACCAGAAGTGTGACAATACATTGGCTTTTAAAGAGGCCTAGTGGTTAGTGCGCACGTCCCATGTACGGAGGCTGTAGTCCTCGAAGTGCGGCCCGTGTTTGAATCTGACCCGTGGCTCCTTGCATGTCATCCCCCACTCTCTCTATCCCTGATATCTGACTCTATCCACTGTCCTGTCCATCCAATACAAGCTTTAAAAAGCCAAAAAATAAACAGATTTATTATCCCCCTCTTCCACCTTTTCAAACAGTCCCCTGTGGTCTAAATGAAACATCTGTGCTGTGCTTTGGTCAAAATATAACATGAATCAAGCACCAGAGGAAGTTTGTGACCCTGTATAAACCAGCTCTCTCAGAACGCTCCTTTTTGGTGTGTGTGTCTCTTTAAATGCAATGAGCCCCCCCTGAGTTTTTCCGGTAGACATCACTCCTTCACTAGTGAGAATAAAATGGCGGACCTGCACAAAATTTTTTGATCTAGTCTGGGGGTGGAGTCCATGGGTGGAGATACCAGGGAGGGGAGGGAATTTATTTTACCAGAATCCTACTGTGATGTCACAAGGAGAGCACATTGGAAACAGAGCACTTGTGTTGTAAGACTTTTGCAGACCACAAACAAAGGACTGGATAGGTTCATTTCACATTTTGTGGGTTAGTAGACACTCAGGTTACCCATATATATGTTCATGAACACTGTAGAAGTGGATTTTTCATTATAAGTACCCTTTAAGGGTAAGGAGTTGCTTTTATGTTTTCCACATTCATTACTCCTGCAGAGGTCAAACAGTGCCATTTACAGGAGTGGAGGTCGTTGTGATTGAGGACATCTGAGGGGAATTAAAGGACGTTTTCAATCAATTTGATGTGTGGATGTGAGGGATGGGGAAATCAAATTATATTTAGGGGAATGTTTCATACCCTTGGTTGGGAGTGCATCATGATGAGCTTTCCTCAAGTAGTTTTCTCCCCTTTATCCTTTAATGAGAGTGGATGAGAAAGGACAAGCATGGGGTTTGGGGGATTAAGGTTCATTAGAACTAAAAAGGTATAAAGGAAAGAAGGTGTTAGGCACTAATCTAGCGCTTGGGCGAAGTTGAGGCAGCATATGGTCAATATTGGAAAGACATCTCTTAGCTTGGATCAATCAGCTGATGAAAGACGAGTTACAACTGTTTACTTCTGAGCTACAGCAGTTTCTACTTACTTTTAGCAGTGGCCTGTAATTGCTGAACTTCAACAGGGTCCTGTGTCCCCTTCCCAAAGAGTTACAGCAGTGTTCAGTTCCTAATTAGCTGTACCAGCGTCCCGTTCCTTCTGAGCTACAGCCTTGTTCTGTATCCTATTGCTTTAGAGCTCCAGAAAAGTCTGTTCCAAATGAGCTACAGCAGTCTCATATACATACAGAGCTGCAAATTCACTCTTGTTCCCGCTTAGCTAAAGCTGATCCCGGTTCCTGGTTTGCAACAGAAGTGAACTTGCTGTTGTCCTGCTTAGTTAAAACAATGCCCTGTTCCTACTGAGCCAGAGCAGCACCCTGTTGTTAGTGGGCCAGAGGGCTATCCTGTTCCTACTGATCTACAGCTGGAGGACCCACAGGTCAGATTTGAACCCAGGCTGCATGCTCTCGAGGACTTAAGCCTTGGGCCATGGGTGCACACATGCACTAACCGCTAGGCTACCAGCGTACTGACAGCTTCCTGTTTTGAATGAGCTACTGCAGTGTCCTGTTCCTTCTGAGCTACAGCGGTATTGGGGTTCTACTGAGCTACGGTTGTGAGATATTATTTAAAACGTTACAAAACCACTTCTGTTCCTGCCGAGGGAATAGACGCTGTGAGGTGCTGCAGTTTGGTGGTAATATTTTCTGTGTTCATCTTATACATATCACACATGGTCATCTGATACCTTTTTGTTATACAAACTTTTGATCAATTACATATCTCACACTGAGAACACACCAGGTCAGATTTCATCTCAAGGAAACAAGATCAATGCTCAGCAACGATTGCATCACATGTTGATGAGCGCTGTGCGCATCCTGTGTTTGCTCAGGCTTGTTTTTCTTCACACCTTTGATTGAGATGACATCATCACCTGACACTGATCCATGCAGGTGTGAACAAACCGTCTTCAGAGGTTCAGCACGCCGCCATTAAATCAGCTAATCCGCTAAAAGAGTCTCATGGGACTTACCTGTGTTTGTATGTTTGTGTTTGTGTTTGTTACGGGTGTACAGGTAACTTTCACAATAAAAGTAAATAATTAATTGCCACAAACTATTACTTATCTGACCTCAAATTGCTGTAAGATTGTCACAATATTAGAATTTTAAACTTTGATATGATTGATTTGATAGGAAACTCAAATGATGTAGATACCTGTTTTGATACATAGGCAACAACAATAAAAATCCTAGAAACCCAATATTGAATATTTTATTGTTTCAAGTTGTCAAAAATTGCAGACATACTCCTGCACACTGTCAACATGACAATAAGTTAATCTTAAAACTTGAACCTTTTATTGAGTTTTGGCTGTTTGTTTACTGAAAACAACGTTTTGGGTGCCTGAAAACAAAAAGGTTTGAGAATATGTTCAGAGTGCAAACTTTAGAAAACAGAAAATCTTCGCGTCATGTTAACTGCCAATATGCCGTTTTATTCCATTTCATTGAATCTGTAACCTTGTGACCTTGTGACAGGAGCATAATACGGTAAAATAAAATGTAAGAAAAACTAAACAAATCACACCTGTGGGAACGGCGTCACCTGCTGATTCAAGGAAGATCAGGCAGACGTTTAGAAACATCGAGAGTAGAAAAACAAGAAGAGAAGCATTAAGATGTATAAATAATAAAATCGTCAAAAAGGGACCAGTAGTAGTCTAGGAGCTTGAGCATAAAAACAAGTAGGAGCAGGCAGAACAACGTAAAAGCTTTTTTTTAGAAGGTCCTTTTTTTTATGTCTCAAATGTCTGTGGTGCCCTCAGGTGGTCCAGATAGGGCAGCTGTGAAGAGTCGGAGTAGAATACCTAGTCCCCCATAGTTTGCAGCTAAGGCCTGGGAAGATGGAGACAGTTGGTGTTGGTGGATTCTTGTGGCAGTTTAATGGGTGAGTAGGTCCTTGAGGTAGTGTGGGCGCATGGATGGGGCATAGGTTTGATGTATAGTTGAGTGTCATCAGCATAGCTAGAATTCGATGCCGGCTGATGACGTGGCCGAGGGGGTAAAGAGGTATGGGCCAAGAAGTGATCCTTGAGGAACCCCACAGGCAACATCCCTCCCAGAGAGATAAGATTTAAACCAGAGTTTGAGAGTTCACTGTATTCTCGCCCAAAGGCCTCTGCCTCTTCAGATCCTGCAGCTGGGCTCCCGTGAGGCCAAAATACAATACTGAATTTGTGGTCCGTGTAATGATGAAGGTGCAACTGCTGCAGCTGCTTATAGGTCACTCTTCATCTATCTGTCCGGACGTTTTTTCCGTGATTGGATCCGAGCGCATTTTGGACACTTCTTCTCCACAAAACAACGTTTGTGAAAGCAGGCCCTGCACACTGTAAAATAAAAAAAGCAATATTAAAAGAGTATTTCTGCACTTTTTATAGTACAACTAGAAATGTTGTGTCTGTTTTTAAGTTTTGTTTCCAACACTGTGGATGAAACGTAGAGTCTTTCCCAAACATGCAGCTCATATTACCATTGTGAAAACCTGCATAATTAAATCCACAAATGTGTATATATTGTAGATTAAAAAATGCTTAACAAGAAACAAAAAATGTAAACACAGATTCACATAGGCCTCACCTTATCTGCATTGTGTACACACTGCTTGCCTCACTAATTTGCCACCATTCATGTGTACTGCTAAGGGGCTAGCAGTTTACACAAATACAACTCTTGATAAAAGCTAATGTTATGATGTTGTTCTCTGTCTGATGTCCTCAAATCTCACGCTTAAGCCTGCGTTTTTTTTTAAAAGCATGAGCTTTTATGATTCACTATTTTGCAGCAACATGCAGATATATGTAGATTTTGTATTTCCTGAATTAAGTCATGGGTGTCATATGACTTGATGTTTATCCAGAGGTTAAAGTATAAACCAAGAAGAGAAATCATTAAATTGTAAAATAATGAGTGCTCAGAACGTACCTGGACAGCGCCTACACATGTCGGTCTGAAAAGGGAAGATGACATCTTTTTCTCTGCAGAACTCACAGACGAAACCTCGGGCCAGACACAGCTGTGTGCGGACAAAGAGAAAAGTTAGATTCTACAGCCAATGCATAAAAAATCATCCTGTTAGTCTCTTATTTTATACTTTAATGGATCTTATTGTATATTTTGTGTAGTGTAGTGTATATTTTCCAGATAGAGTGAAAACAGTGAGGGTTATTCCACTTTTTATCTGACCTGACAGTTTTCTACATGACCGATGGCAGAGTTCAGCACGGCCTGTGCCTGAGACACAAGCTGACCCTTCTTCACTCTCAGCAGGTCGTCCATGGAGAACAGGTGAGGCTGCTCAGTCAGGTGGGCAGGAAGCTGTTCAAACTCTGTCATCACCCTGAGACACACGCACGCACGCACGCACGCACGCACGCACGCACGCACGCACGCACGCACACACACACACACACACACACAGCTCTATTAAGCTTTTACCTCTCTGTGTTGCCCTCTGGTGGTCAGCGAGTATTTCCCAGGTGTCTTTTTTTATTGAGATCTGATTATTATTAATGATGCTGCCACTGTAAATCTTTTGTATTAAATTTGAATTCTTCACAGTAGTTCACACTCTATATAACAGAGTACTCCCTTCATTTCTCCTCATCAAATATTAGGGATGACAATCTTCGCTGCTCTCAAGATTTTACTCCATTAGTATTATCCTGCCTACGATTTGACAGGAATATTTTAATGAACTCCAATAAAGATGATTTGATGTAATACATGTTGTGAATGTTTGTTTTTACCGTTTGGATAATCTGCAGGCCGTCAGCAGCTTCTTGATGCAAAGCAGCTGATCCTGGAGCTCCTGAGGAGAGAAGGAAGGAAGGAAGGAAGGAAGGAAGGAAAGATGAAATGAAGGAAGCCGATGAAAGCTCTTGACTGAAGTGACCAAACCTGCACATAACAGCGGCCACACTTATTTGTCCCATGTGACCCATTGCACTGTTAAATAAAAGACAAAGCTATGTTTTCTGGCTTTTTGCTCATCTTCATCATATCTGTAGGGTTTGTAACTTTTTGTCCCAATAAGAAACTTTACTCTGCAGCTGCTGACATTTCGGGATCAGCGCTTTGACTCGTCCATTACTTGACCAGGTGATTCTATGTAGGTGTTTCCACACATGAACACATGAACTCCTGAAACTTCCTGAATGTTTTGGGGTAAACTGCACAAACAGACACATTTTTAAGTTCCCTCTTTATCCTGTTAGCCTCCTTGTAAATGTTTCAGCGTGAAGTCGGGGTGAGCCGCTGTGAGAACACAGCAGGAAATATTCAGGAAGATTCACGACCAGTGAGCGAGCAGCGGCCATAACGTTTCTATCACACATGTAGCATAAATAAAGGAGCAAATACTGTCATCATAGCATCAGACATTGTTGCTTTGTCTGGCACTTTTACCTCAATTGTTACTTTTATGTCATGTTCTGGCTACTGAGACCCCCCCCCCCCCCCCACCCCCACCTCCCCTCTGACAGGGACAGTCTCCCACTTTGTGAACAACTGACTTCAGAGATTTCAGAGGCAGTTCTTTTTTTCTCAATCTCTTTGTGGTCATAACTGAGCGTGTTTCATAAGAACTGTAATGTTATCAATGTGTTTGTCTGCAGACGCCAGAGTATATACACATATCATGAAGAGACAGGGTGACATCTTAAAGGAGTCTGAAGGTCTGACTCACCCTGAACCTGCGGAGCTCCTTCACTCGGCCGTTGAGTTTTTTACCCACGCAGCTCACATCGAACAGCGGTTGAAACCAAACTGAGTCCAGCAGCTGTTTGGAGAAATCACTCACAGGGAACCTATTATTATATTATTTAATAAATTAGAGTATTTTCTAACAGAGTGTAGACGTTCATTTTCTGAGTTTATTTTTTATATTTCAGCTGAAAAGTGCAGTCTTTCTGAATGTTTGTCCGACCTGCTGAAGTCCCAGTGGGTCAGAACCCGAGCAGGAATCACAGCCTCAGAGCCGCTGTGGCAGCAGTCACAGAAGTACCTTCAAATAAAATGACATATTCAACTTTATTCAAACAGGAGAATACATCTTGTCTTGTTCCTCTAAAATTTTCCCATAAATGATGTATATCTTCATTGGTTTTAAATATAGTCTTTTGTTTTGGTGAGGTTATCATCACGCTGCAGAAACAGACTTTGTTAACATTTCCACAGAGAGGAGAAAGAGTGATGGATACGTTTGACTCTTAAAAGACAGCAGGAGGAGATTTTTTATCACAAATCAATACTTAAATGTGAACAGGACAACATCAGCTAAAAGAAGGCGTAAAAAAAGTGTCCACAGGGGGGTGCCAAAATGCACACAAACCAAAAGTTCCTCACAGGAGCTTTAAAATATTGATTTGAACGTGCAGATTTTAACATTTATTGTAGCATCAAAGACTCATTAACATGACAGTAATTCATTTTCTTTATAAATATATAATATTTAAATATTTAATTTGACATACCTGCCCAGGTATTCACAGTACCGCAGTTTCTTTATGTACTCTGGTGGCAGAGAGAGGAGAACCAAGTTAAACAAAAGTATTTTGATGTTGCCGTGTTATCCGTGTCCACAGCCTAATAGAGGAGCACAAACATGACCCTGTGACCCCACCTCCCTCACATGGATAAACTAGCACCATCTTGTGATAACGTCACATTAAATATCCCAGCCTGATAATGTTTTTGGTTGAACAGATTCAGATACAAATAATGACGTCTTTGCAAGACTAACGACCCTTGATCCAGCTGAAATGCGGCCGGACTTCAAAGTCCGTCATACGACTCAAAAACTGGGTCGACAGGACAGCGTCTTCTTTAAAATCAAATACTCACTGTGCTCTAATTCTGTTCCACAACCCGCACAAAGAAAGTTCTGCTGAGCGACAACGTCACTGCGTCTGAAAGAGAGAACACAACCTGTCATATCTATCGATCTATCCATCCATCTATCCATCCATCTACCAATCTATCTATCAGTGGGATGTAGACCTGTGGTTCGGCTGCACCGTGTAGATGATCTGGACTCGAGGTGGAGCCCAGCTCAGACATCCTCTCATCCTCGTCCTCAGTCTGATCTCCTCCGTCAGGCCGCTGCTGACCACCGTCACACATTCTCCACCAGGTAACTATGAATTAAAAAAACAGAGACTGTTTATGTAAAGAAAACCAAGAACATTTAATTGAATACACCTGCCTGCATTCTTTCTTTTGTTCAGCAGGGGGCAAAGGAAAGTCTGTTTCTATAGAAGTAAATGATAGTCCCACTGTTTTATTTTATTTATTTTATTTATTTCCTCCTCTCTAGTTTCAAGTCTTCTTCAATGCAGCGTGATGTTCATTTATTAATTAATCATGGTTCCATTTTAGAGTCAAACAGGGGAGGCGTTAAGGCGGGGCTATCAGCCAGTGATAAGTTACTTTAACAGCGACCTCAAACACGTCTAAACTAACGTTCATTTTTACTTAAGGCCAGGATTGCTTGAAACCTGAGTGATAATAGTTTTATATCTGTTTCAATGTGTCAGCTGTTTGTGATCTGACCTCCAGCAGGGAGCTTCGCAGGCTCTGCCGTCCACGCCTGGGACCGTCTGAAGGAAGCCAGCTCCTCCTGAACTCCAGCACCAGCTGCTGAGCCAGAGCCTGTGCACTGCATTATGGGAAAAAAAGACAAAAAAAGAGTCAGGGATCACTGAATGAGAAACGTCAGGCTACATTGAGTTTGTGAGTGTGTTTGTGTTCACCTACTTTCTGAGAGAATCTCTTTGTGTGGTCAGAGAGTCAGCTCCACAGTCTGAAATAAAACACATTATAACTATCACTATTGTATTATTTTGTATTTTTAGAATAAATATGAGAGCATGAGAGCTCATCTCTCCGTGCAGAGTGAAGGTGAAGACAGCTGCTCTCCACCTTCACTCTGCACGGATGTAATCCATTCAAAGTGAATCGTGGTGTGAGAAGTTCTCTACCTTCAAAGCCGCTGTCATTGGAGAGGACGGAGAAAGTCTTTGGTTGATGTTTAGCCTCTTCATACGCCGCTCCCTCCTCTTCCTCCTGTGTGTGTTTGTGTGTGTGTGCATAGGAGGAGTGTGTGTTTCTATGGGATGTCTGCATGTTTTTATCGGAGTGTGTGTGCGCGAGAATCTCTCGAACAGTGTTTCTGTGGTGTGAGCTCTTTGTCTGCTCGAGAGGTGTTTCATCCTCTGAAGAGCTTGTGTGTTGTTGTGTGCAGATCTGATACTGTGTGTGTTGTTGTGTGCAGGTCGGACACTGTTTGTGTTGTTGTGTGTTCTGGTGTGTGTCCATCATTAAAGTCCACTTCGCTCCCTCCAGCACCTCCAGCACCATGTCCACTACGATGAAATGAGCATTCTCCTGCAAATCGTAATGAAAAAAAATAAAAAATAAGATATCATCATGATTATCATAAAGGTAGTCTCAGTGACGTCATCCTTTGGTTACTGAAGAAGAGTTATGAAGCCCTATGATGGTGGTCGCCATATTGGAAAGGCTGACTGTACCCAACCTTAGATCAATCTAGAAACAGCCAATGAGTCTGAGCTGAGGCGGGGCTTAAAGCTCCTGAGAAACAGCTACTAGTCAACTCCACAAATTAAGCAAATTTATGAAAAACTCTTTGGCTTTATATTTAAAAGCTAAGTTATAAAAAGAGCTATAGAGGCCAAAACTATTTTGTAACTAGGTTGTAAACCTGCTTTTTTTCTGCTCTCAAAGAGGACATTTTAATAAGGGACTTAATGGCGATTGACTCATTTTTGCAGTCGACCTCTAGTGGACACTCGACAAACTGCAGTTTCTTTTGCACATTTGCATTGACTTCATTTTTTAACACCGGAGGTTGCCGCTTCCAGGGTACTTGGAAAACTAACAGAAACTTTATGGGAAAAACAAGACTGTATCTCTAAGCATGTAGTGTACCTTCTCCAGCTCAGTGTGGGTCTTTAAGAGGTCTGCAGAGAATTCTGGGATACCACGGCTCCTTCTCTGTCTGCTGACATGGGCTAGAGAGAGGCCCACACACACACACACACACACACAAACACACACACACACACACACACACACACACACACACACACACACACACACACACACACACACACACACACACACACACACACACACACACACACACAAACACACACACACATGCACACACATGCAAATAGAGTACAGCCTTAGTGAAATCAACACTGAATCAAATGAACTATTTGCAATTTTTCAAATGCTTTAAATTGGGACTTTGGACGTACATATAAGTCCTTGAAGAATGAAGTTTAAGCTCAAAAGTCAACGTGATTACTGCAGACAGGAGGGGTAAATAAATGCTCTTCATTCATGTGTGTGCACACAAACTTAAGGCCACCCCTGCACAAATCTCTATCATACCTGATGAGTGAGGGGGTTGACATCTGAGGAGGCCCCGCCCTCTGTGCTCCTCAGCCAATCCCTGCTGTCCACTGAAACGAAGGCGAGGTTCATCGCTCAGGTTTGATGAGACAGAAACACAGCGTGAGGACGAGTGAAGATCCAGATCATCCAAAGTGGTGACCGACGCGGGCTGACGCTTATCCAGAGAGTCCGGGCTACAGGAGGTTATTTCATACACATGAAGAATTGTAAAATATAGATCCACAGATTAAAGCAGGGGACACAACAAACCCAAAATTGACCCTGAAATCTTCCTGAGTTGCTCGTTCAAACACATATAAGGCAGGAAATGTTTGGAGGAGAGAGTAGGGGATGACGCGCAGCACAGGCACGAGGTTTTGATTTCAACCCACTGCATGCTACTAAGACCCCTCCTGCTGTCAAGAGGCCTGATTTTAACCAGCTTTAAACCACCTCATTGTGACAACATCAGACGTCTTCTTGAAGATTTTATTTAAAAATATTTCAACTCTGACAGTAACACTTTCTCCTTAAGTCACACGGCCATTTAAACTGAAGGTGTTTGATATTGTTGGAAGTCTGTCTGCAGCAGTCTGACACTTACGTTTGGACAAAAACTAAAACATGAATGAGTCACAGTTCGTCCTCCCTTCTGATCATTCTGAGGCCCCTTTACGATCAACCATTTCTGTGTTTTAAAGCTGCAGAGGAGGACTTTTCTCTTTTGTTTTTCTTTAATTTCCTAATCAAATGTAAAAGTCATCATCATCATCATTTAACTCAGGCGTCTGCTTGTGTTTACCTCGATGGATTGAAGCTATCTGTGCCTCCTCCTTGCCAGGAGACAGGTCGTTGTCGTCTGGAGATGACCGGACTGCTCCTGCGGAGGAGGAGTAGGACACTTTGGTCCGCTGGATGCCGAGGAGACGAGTCATCCTTGTGTCCTTTCATTCCTTCATCATCAGAGTGACTATTAGACGATCGGTCAATGTCGAGCAAGTCAGAGTCCACCATAGAGTGGTGTGAGAGTGTGAAGGCCGCTTTGTGTGTCCTCTTTGTGACAGTCAGGTGTGTGTGTTGATGTGGAGACACTTCTCTGGTGTCTGCTGGAGTCAGGAGGAGACGTGGGACTGATCCTGAAAAAGCCATAAGATGGTTTTGGAGAGGAATTTCTCCTGAAGAACCTTAAAAGACGAAGAAGAGATTGACCTTTCAGAAAATTGTACATCAGCTGTTTCTATTGCGCACAGATTCATCCAACCTCACGCTGTTTGCTCTACAAACAGACTGAGCGGAAAAGGGAGCATGTTGCATGCAGGCACCTCTGGACATTTTTTAGTATGCACACAAAGAACCTGAGCTTCTTAAAGTTTTTTTTTATGTGAATCATCTTTACCGGTGCCTCTGTGTGCACAGCAGAATTAACAGCAGTCTGAGGAGTCCCTGAAGCTGCTGTAGAGTGAGTTCTGATGTGCAGCTGTTGGTTTAGAGTCCAGAGGATCTTACCTGTCTCTGCAGGGTCCACATACCAGCTGACATATCGTTGTCTCCTGAGGGAGGATGGCGAGTCCCGGCTGCAGCTTCCCATCTGTGAAGCTGAAGAAGAGAAAAAAAGTTTCCCAACAACGGCAACTTCAGCGCACACTTTCTTCTGCAACAGTTCTTCCTGTGTTACTTAAAATACCAGTAATAATAAACTGTCAAGATGAGATTACCACTTTTAAACTGGCCTGTTTTTTTAAGAGGTTTGAGATTTGTGGATTTGTAGAATTGTAGTTTTCTCAGCTCTGGCGGACTTAGTGACAGCAGATTTGAGAGCTTATCAGGATCCCGATGACGCTTTAAGATCAATAAAAACTCAAAGTCCTAAGTCTGAAGATTCCTCCTCTCATTTACACGGAGGGGCAATACATGCAGTAATTAAACTCTCTCAAACATGGGCATAAATATGGAAGTATGTCAGAGATAATGTTGTAAAAGTGATGTACTAAAAAAATCATTTCAGGTTTATGACTTTGCTGACTGTTTTTGGAGTTGCCAGCTTGTAGAAATCTGAGTTATTACACGATTTTTAAACCCTTCCTGCTCCACCGTGTGAAGCAACTCACTGATTATCTCAGACATTTGGCAGGAAATGCGTTCCTCTGCGTCATTGTGAGTTATAGAGAATTTAAGTTACCAATATTTGCCCTCATCAGAAGTATTTCAAACGCTTTCTTTCGCTGAAGAAGTGTAAATACGTGACCTAAAGACCGCACATGTCCTCCTCCTGCAGGTTGTTTCTGAATCGAGAGGCCTCGTTTTAAACTTCTGCTTTTGGTTTTTAATATCAACAACTGGCAGACTGCCTGCTCGAGGCTGCACTCTGCAAATCTGACATTTCCATAAAGATGTGAAATTTAACTCTTGATTAGCTGATACAGATGTCAGCTTTGTTAAAGAGGACATATTATCCCCATTTCCCACCTTTTCAAACAGTCCCCTGTGGTCTAAATGAAACATCTGTGCTGCGCTTTGGTCAAAATATAACATGAATCAAGCACCACAAACAAAGGAATGGATGGGTTTATTTCACATTTTGTGGGTCTGTAGACACTCAGGTTATCCAAATATATGTTAAAACACACTGTAGAAGTGGATTTTTCAGAATATGTCCCCTTTAAGATTAAATGACAGGTTTTTTTGTATTTCTTTGAGAAAATAGATGTTTAAAATCTGATCAAACTTTTTTGTCACGTCACAAACATGATATAAACTCATGAAGACTGGGAATTATAACCTCCGCTCGGTCGTTTTCTTCTCCTGATTAATGTTTTAGAGATTAAATGTAATTCCTGGTCAACCACTGTTCACATTACAAGATAAAAAACCGCTGTATAAAATATCACGCAGACTAAGGTTATCTTGATACCAGATATTTAAACTTTGATATGATTCCAGTAAAATCCACAACAACATTGATACCAGGATGTTGTCAGTGGTTCTGTGATGTTTGATTTGGTATTTTGCAAAACTCTCAATCATAAATCAGAGATTGTATCGATGCAGAACTCGAAGTATCAAAGAGTATCGAAGAAGTGGAAAGTTTGACAACCTCAGTGCTGACGTTATCAGGATACTGATTAGGAAATCTGTCAACAAAGAGAAACTTTAAATTAAACTTTAAACTATGACCCTGCAAACTGCCTTTTTTTTTAACAAGTCCCAGATCTTCTGCTGCTGTGATCACTTCTTTAATTCTTCAGATCAGTTTTATTTAACCCTTTCATTATTCACTGGATATACAGCCTTTAATGTTCTTTCTATACTAAGAAAAAATCCAGTTAAACAGACAAGAATGAAAACAAAACAGTCTGTAGTGAAAGAAATTATATGGAAATAAACCTTGTATGTCATTATTTCTAACATTTACAGACATTAAATCAACAGAAGAATTGATAGACTGAATATAGAGTCTTTAAAAACAGATTGACTTGAAAACAGTTTCACGAGTAGGCATAGAGCTGCTCTGATTGTGCACAATAAAAAACAAAGAACTTTTTTCTGTTTCAGTTCAAATCAAAGTGAGCGGGACCACAGAAGAGAGAGCAGCACTGAATGAGACACAGACATGAAAATAATAAAGAAGTTACTCACCATTTAAGAAACATCCATTAGAGGCTGAAGTGACTGAAAGACATATAAAAGACCTGCAGCAGGAAGCAGCAGGAAGTGCTGCGTGTGATTATTATCACTTCCTCATTTCAACAGAAACATGATGAAAGCTGTCAACTTTCTCCTTAAAAGAAACACATCATAGTAAGAGTACTGAGTACACTGAAACCAGATCAGAAATGTCCTCAAAAGTAGACATACTGTACAAAAGTCTGAGGCCAATGCTAGCTTTTTTTAGGATTAATATTTCTAAAGAAATAAATGTAAACTGCCGAAACAACAGATATAATGTCAGCCTCAGACTTTTGCCCAGTCAATGGTTTTTGTTCCTCTTCCTCTTTAATCTGAAACTATTTTAATGACGAAAAGTTTCATTTTGCCTCAAGCATGTTTTTATTTTTTTTCAATTTTTAAACATTTTACATAATTCACTAGTCCACTTGGTACTAATAACGTTCTTCTTCTTCCTCTTCTTCTTTTTCTTCTCTCTGTGCATGTTTGCCAAAGAATAAGAGAGCCTGAAGAATAGTTATTTCGAGCAGAGAAGAAACAAGAAGTATAACTCACAACTCAATTCTGGTTTTAGATGTATTACAGGAGAAAAATGTAGCAGAAGTTCAGGCTCTGCAGTGATTTAAGTGCAGACTTCTAAGTAATCCCTGGTCTGTGGAGTTCCCCAAAGTTCCGTCCTCGGCCCAGTCCTTTTTTCCTTGTACCTTGTCCACTTGGCCACAAAATAAACAGCTTCAAAGTGATTTCTTATATCAGTTATGTAGATGACTTCCAATCTAACATTTACTCTCCAAACTGTCTCCAAACTGTCAAATCCACTGAGATGCCTTAGCACCACTAAACATAGGATCACAGTTTAACTTTTACAAGGGCCTTTGTAGACTGAAATCAGATTTCATACTGGAAGTGCCTGTTTACACAGAACCAATGCAGCTCAGCACTTTCAGCGCTCAGCATCCAAAGAACAAAAAAAGTCCTTGCCGTCAACTTTCTGCCACTGCGCCCTCAGCCCTCTGTGTATTGGCTTTTACACTCGCTATTTGAACTGAAGTTGTTCCACCCTTGATCCGCCATCGGAGGTTTTAACAGAGGAGTAATGGGGAGAAGACTGTGGAGAAGTTAAATGTACGAGCTGGTGAGGCGGAAAAATGCTGAGTGTGTATTTTGATCTCCTTCTGTGTGCTCACACACCATCCCTCTCATGCTTCCGAAACACCATAATGCAATGTGAATTTACAGACCAAGACACCAATATTACTTCGTCATATATAATGTTACAAACTGCAATCTGAAGAGGGCTAATCTCACTTCTCCCTCACATATTATCCTCCTTTACAACAAGTGTAAATAAGTCTCAGAGCACCCAGAAACATGTCTGTGAAGTTTCTTGTTCTAAATCCACTCTGATCCTGTATTTGATCATGCCTATAAACCCCTCTATTTCAGCCCTGCTCAGAAAAGGCTGTTTCTGTGTCTGTACCTTTAAATGTAAATGTGCTGTGTCTGACCACGCCCCTTCTCTGGAAAGGCTTGGGTGGCTTGGACTTTCTCGCTCCATGTCTTATTGTTTACGGTGAGAAGGCAGACTCAGATGACAGAACAAACACCTAGCTGTGGGAGTGTCACCCACCTGGGGGAGGGGTTACTGCCCTTTGTGATGTCATGAAGGGAAAATCTCCAAACGGCCTGTTTGAGCACACATTTTCTGAAAAGTGGAGCAGGCAAAATGATGGACTTTTCTCATCATTGAGGGGTTTGTAGACAGACTAAAGACACATATTAGTGTTAGAGAAACATTGTGAAGTGTCTATTGCATAAAATGTGACCTTTAAGGGAACAATTCAGGCCTAAGCTGCTACTAGTGCTGAACACATTGTTTTCAAGGTTTTCTTTGTAAAATTTCCTTCCTGTTTTTGCTGTTTGTCAAAGCACTAAACCTGTGTTTTTAAAAGGTTCTATATAAATAAAGTTATTCATATTCATATTATTATTATTATTATTATTAATAATAATAAATTAAAGTGAGATTAAACATACAGACCTTAAAGTCACTACCCAGGGAAGTCCTGCCATTGTTATTCATTGTACATTTTGGAAAACTCAGTCAAGCTATCATGTTTTGAAATGGCAGTAATACAGATTTATTGGAGTATGATTAGAATAAAAGTTAACATCAGTTTAATCCTTTGATTGTGTTTTACATCAGTGTCCAAAAAGGTCTCCCAAGTTTAAAAGAACAAACGTGTTCCCACACAGACTGTAATCAGAGATCAGCTCTGTGTATCTGCTGAGGCAGGCTGCTTACATAAACCGCTGACTCAGCACACACACACACACACACACACACACACACACACACACACACACACACACACACACACACACACACACACACACACACACACACACACACACACACACACACACACACACACACACACACACACACACACACACACACACACACACACACACACACACACACACACACAGAGATCAGATGGTTGTAAATAAGGGTTTTTACCTGCAACATGAAGCAGCTTTTTCTCTGCTGACGGAGCTGAACTCACACCTGCTTTCAATCAAACTTTATTAAACACATGTTTTGTTCTTTGTTTGGAATTATTACATCATCAAATCCATAAATAATCGTAAATGACGTAATCTGGCAAACTCCACAAATTTTAGGCATCATCAAAGAATGTTGCCTATATAAAGATATAAAACAAGGAGCAAAGTTTAGTAATAAACTTTAGTTTTCGTGTTTAAAGCGCCTGTGAGAAATATTATTTTTGTGTTGACTTTGGCGACCTCTAAAACAAGCGGTGACTCTTATCTGTTTTATTTCTCCCGGTATGCGTGTGTATGTGTAAGTAGTGTTTCATTTTTTAATTCTTTTGTTTTTACAAATATCTAATGTGTCGTCTTTTAGCAGCCAAAAATATCATGCACTGTAAATATTTCTGTATTTCTTAAAGTCTAATGTGTCTGTTTTAACTCTAAAACTGAGCTAGAGACAAAGGCTGCAAATTAAGCCTATGAATACTTTTCTTTTTTCTATTTTTGGTTTGATGTACACATAAAGGCTACTAAAACGGCATAATTAAAATGTCATTATCGTTTGCAGTTTTTTGTGTGTGATCCACCTGGTAAAAAAAACATTAAACATTAAAACAACATCCAGTTTCACTCGTCAGAATTAACACTGTCGTGCTGTAGTGACTGAGTCTTGCCAGCAGGTGTCACTGGTGCTTAAGTATCCTTCGTTGTTATTGCCTGCTGCTACAGAGCGGCTAGTCCAGTGCGCATGCGCAGTGAGTGTGCTGCGTCAAGTCAAAAGACTGCAGATAGAAAAGAGAAATCTGTCTCAAGAATAAAATATGTAAAGGAAACTTGAGAAATGGAAATAAAATGTGTAAACCTTTACATTTTATGAAAACAACAACAAAGCAAACAAACAAAAATAACCTGATGTGTTAAACTCAGTTAGATTCAGTAATGATATTACCATAAAGATTTTCGATTGAACAATATGATGTAAACAAGGTGATATGGTATTATTTATTAAGCGTGTTGAACAGTAAATCCATTCAAACAAACAAGGAATATAGGAAGAAATGAAATGCATGATACAAATACAGTATATTTGACGTGAAGAGGTAGATTTGTTTTTGTATAATTGGGAAAATTACTCTTATTAAACTTCTGACGAATCACAGGTACACATATGACGATGATGTATTTTAAGATTTAACGTTAACGTAGGCCTACTTTTTAAATCTCTTGATGAACCAGAGCCTCCTTACCTCGGTGACTCCTTAATCCCCCCCCATGAACCAGGTGGTCACCTCAGTTTATCTTTGATTATTAATCCTCTAAATTATCCTCCATCCAGCATGAGGACCTCAGATGATCCTTGTTTAAAATTATTCACCAAAGAAAGAGAGTAAAAAGAAATCTGTAATTCATTTGAGTTTTATTTTGAAGTTAATGAACGGATGTTGTGACGTCGTAGTTTCTACCGTTTTGACGCACCGCGCGGACAGGGAGGCGATGCGGCGACGAGAAACGAAGAGGAAACTGAACGCGCGTCACGGCACGGCACGAGAATCTGTGCTCCTTCTGTTTGTCTGAACGTGAGCTCATCCCCGCGTGCTTTCTTTATTCACGGATACTGAACGACCCGCGCGCGCACACACACACACACACACACTCACACCGGGAGAACAGGCGGAGAGAGGGATCACTATGGCGACGTTGGGACCGGAGTCCGCCCGTCCCCCGCTGTCCCAGCTCGGTTCTTCTCCGTCGATCCAGAATCACCTCGGCGGCGCCAATAACCTGCCCCCGAACCGGGGCTTGGAGCGCGCGCTGGAGGAGGCAGCGGCCAGCGGGGTGCTCAACCTCAGCTCCCGCAAACTGAAGGAGTTCCCCCGGACGGCCGCAAACCACGACCTGACGGACACCGTTGAAGCAGGTAGGCACCGCAGAGGCGTCTTTACAATGGGATACAGAAGCGCGTGGACCCCCCCCTGCTTAGCGTACGGTGTGCTGCAGGACCGTGAAGGCGTCAGAATCTGACGATGTTTAGCCTTTTAAACCAGGAGTAGAACCCAAACCCGGTTGTTTCTGGTTGGCCTGTGGGTCACATAGTATATGTGCTTGATTCTGAACTCCTCTCAGGTCTGTGTTAACCCCCTGATAGACGGATGCGTCCTCTTCTGTCAGGTCTGTCACATGGACTGGATTTGGGTCCTACACATTTTGAGTCCTGGTGTATCCACGTTGAAGTAAATGTTGTCAGGATGTTTCTGTTGAGTGGGCCTGTGGTGGAATTCCCCCACACTTCCTTAAATCCAATGAGTGATGTAAACAGGCTGATGGAGCACTCAGGAGGAAGGTTGTTGAATTTTTGATACTTTACAACCACAGTTATTATAAAATGATACAATCTCTCTTATTTAATGATTGATACCATCCACAAGTACCAAAGCATTTGGTCAATGGCTACACAGTGTGCAGATATTTTCTGAAATTCGTGGTAATTATAAACAACATCAAATATTGAGTGTCTAAGACTTCAATTTTTGTTGGCATGGTGTCCAAATAGGTATCAGTTGTTTGGTTAGCATTATATCTTAAAAAAAGGAAGGTTTGTTTTTTAGATTTTTACATGCTAACATCAGTGTGAGCTCCAGCATCGATCTGCACAGGTTTGAAAAAGGAGCTTGTTTGGCTAGTTCACTCATATGAAATCAAATTAACCGGTCACAAACAGATAGCATTACACTGTAAGGGCTCAGTTCACACCGTAGACTGGAAATTAATCTGGACGGTGCAACAGTCTCCTGGGAGTGAGGCCAAAATATTTGGAGCCCCCGCTTATGACTGGCTGCAGGAAAAGTTGTAAACCCAGCCTCCTCCTCCGTGTTAACAGAAGGGACATGGGTCAAGCTGAAGTTATCACCAAGCAGCTACCTTCTGTGTTGAAAAATGGAGCAATTGTGTACGTAACATCAAACTGCAGTTCCTCGAGTGTCCTCTTGAGGCTGGCTCCAAAAGACCCTGAAGTCACTTACCCGCCCATATTAAAATGTCTGTTTTGACAGGAGAGATTCTCATATTCATAGCCCGTTACTGTCAAACAATTTTGGTCTGATTAGTTATTGTCTTTCTGGAGGATTCATTTTTTATCCTTCACCTCTTTTGATTTGATGAAGGATAAGAGTTTCACTTTTGTTCAGTGGAAGGAGACAGAGACGCACTGACGCTCCATATTAAAATACAGTCGCTGTTGTTAGCATGCTTTCTAGCTTACTGCTTATGGTATCAATTCATGAGGATAGGTCTTGTATGAGATACATGTTTACTTTCCCCAGGGACCAGAAACCTTTGGAGGAACACCGAATATGTTATTTTTGTCCCCTGGTTTGTGTCCCTACTTAACAACAAATAGAAACATCCAATTGCACTTTCATAATAAAGCTTGCTGATACAACTCTATTAAAGTCTGCAAATAGCTTATTCTCATTTTTATGAGCATTGAGCAATGATATTTGATAGTTTCATCTCCATGCAAACATGAGTGCATCATCAGCGTACATACAAACTCAACATGCAACAACATGCTGCAAAAAAATAGGAGACTTGCTGTAATACTTATTCTGCAGAGAACAATCTGCTGTAACCAGTTTGCAGGCAGTTCATTTGAATCCTTGAAAACTAGTTTCTGGTTTTCAAAGTTCCCGGTGTTCTCGATGGAAATGTGACTTTTGCGAGATCTGCTGACATCTTAATAGAGCACAGGGTTTGGTTTGTGCTCACCACAGCTTTAAAAAAAAAAAAAAATCACTGTGAAATTGTTTTCTCTGAAACCAGAAGAGAACTGAGTGAATGGTGAGTTCTGTGGATCACCCAGACTAAGAGGGACCTCCTTGATTTTGGTTAAGAGGGACACAAACCAAACATCGACATGTAAATGTGAAACCTTCTTCTATGGTTTGTCTGTTCTTGTGTCGGCAGCAGGACCAAGAGGGTGCTCGACCCTGTTCCAGTCGGACTGTGGAGTCTCAGTGATGTCATAGTGCTGAACTTCACTTTGTTTATAGACCAAAAAAGAAATGTGGTTTACATAATCAGCAGGGAGGCTCGCTGTTACAGAAACACAGACAGCTGAGAGAACGGGGCAGAAACAGAGCAGTGCTGCAGGGCTACCGGGGTTTGAGTTTCACCTGCTCATAGTTTCAGCATTTTAAGGGATGTCAGGATGAAGACAGCTCAGAGGGTTTAGTTCTACTGTGTCAGGATTTTCTCAGTGGTTCTGTAATGCTTGAGGGTGACTGCTCTTTTGTCTATTTGTTATTAAATATAAAACCGCTGAATGTGTTTCGCACTCCGACCTCAGAGGTGATAAGATTTAGTCTCTGATCAAACTATCAGATTATAGGCATTAAAAAGAAGATGTTTCCACTGTGATGTCACACTTTGGTTTGTGGCTACTGTTTTGACATTTTGCCATCTTGGTTGTTGGAGTCAGAGACGACCATATTTGGACGAGAGGGTGGAGCCTGAGAGAAGCAAGGGGTCATCAAGCTACATGTAGGGTTGCCACAATACCACAACTTTAAAACTTCAATATGATTCTTGAAAAATCAACGATACCTAAATCTGTTTCGATCTGTTTTAGGCTGCAACAAATAATGATACTCCACCTGCTGTTCCCTCGTATGAAGCTTTCTTTCTTGTGAAGAAATTAGCATGATTACAGGTGGATTACTGGTCTATTTTTTGCATGATGTGAACTCATGAGCAGCAGCAGCTCTGCATAGTCATATCATTAGTGATGCAGAATCCTGCAGCTCTGTGGGTGATTATTTGAAATCTGACCTACACACTCACATGTTCAGTGGACTCTGTGTTTATCAGAATTTTAGGGTTTTATTTTTCAGTGAAGGATTTGGTATCCCAATTCATAGAACCGTGGGTTTTAGTATTTGTCCTTTTTATCATTTTGAACACAGATCTGTCAGGATTGATACTCACACGTCTTAACTTTAACATGTTTTTATGAAGATCTCAAGCGAACTACAGCGAGAATGTTACAGTTCACATGAACTGCTTTTGTTGGTCAGGACCCACTTTACAAATTGAACACAATTTGTGTTCTTTGGCAGAATCGTTGGATTCCGGTCACTCACCGATCTATTGGTGCTCCTTTATGACCGACAGGATTATCAGACCAATCCGCTGTGTGTGTGTGTGTGTGTGTGTGTGTGTGTGTGTGTGTGTGTGTGTGTGTGTGTGTGTGTGTGTGTGTGTGTGTGTGTGTGTGTGTGTGTGTGTGTGTGTGTGTGTGTGTGTGTGTGTGTGTGTGTGTGTGTGTGTGTGTGTGTGTGTGTGGAAGCTTCATGTTGTGATCACGTCCTGAATGAACAGACATCATGTGTGTGTTTATCAGAGCGTTAATATCTGATTGTTCAAATAGTTCTAGTCTGATCACACGAGAACTCAGATCAACCCCCATGATGTTAGATAAGTCAGAGCAAACTGTCTAACACACGCACACGCACACACACGCGCACACACTGACTGTGGTTCAGAGTAGTTTCATATCAGCGGCCAACAGGCCTGAACCTGCAGTGAAACAAACTGGAGCTTCCTGGAACTGATAGTCGAGTCTGACTGGAACAGAAAGCTGATGTTTAGTTATCGTCGTGCTGTGTCACAAATCTTCTAAATCCATCTAAAGATGGCTGATATCAGAAGAGTTCTGGATCAGGAAGGTTCATGTGGGTGATTCAAACCAAACCAACCAGTCAGCCTGCTCGCTGTCTGTTCATGGTGGTATACACTGTAAAGCTTACAGTGTAAGCTAAGGGTGACAGAGTGTGTGTTTGTGTGTGTGTCCATGTTGCTATGACGTCTTGTTGTGATGTTAGCTTATACCAGGCGATAACGACACTACATAAAAACAACATGCCAAAATGTCCACAGGTAGAACTAGCACGATGCTATCGGTGCGATTGGTTTAATTACAGTAAAAGCGGACTAACATGCTAATAAACACCGTAGTGTAACAGCTTAAACGGCGTTCCTGATGACATATCAGACGGAGAACTCCGAATTGCCGACTTCCTAGATCAAATGGAACGCACCATGTCCCTCGAGTACGTTAAGAAGATTGAACTTTTGCGGTAGAATTAGGGGAGACCCTCTGGTAGTGTGCTAGCTTAGCTAACGAGCTAACACACGCGTATGTGAAAACGAGGCGTAAGGGTAGGAAGCCCAAACGGTTGTTGTTGTGTCTTAGTGTTATACTCCGGGGTTAAGTCGTGCTAACGTCGCACATCTGAGAACCTGTTTTAATTTCAAAGCTTCGAGATGGATCAGAAAGTACTCAGCCAGTGGATACTGAAAGTCTGGAGACACATCTGGACATATTCTGAGTTTAAAAACATTTTTGATAACCTCTAAGCTGCAATCAGGAAGTGTGGAATACGTTTCACTTTCTGTTCTTCTTCTGCTGTTTCTGCTGCACAAACTGCTGCTGAGAGGAGGGGAAGCATCACACACTCCTCCTGTGACCTGCTGTTTTCTGTCCTCTTCTGCAGCTCTGAAAATAACCCGTGTGATGAATAATAAAATAGAGGTTTGATTAAAATGTATTTGTGTGCAGCAGCCTACGTTAAAGCTTCAGGCTCTGCAGTTTTTCATTCTGTACGTTCATATCACTCATTGACAGAGACTACATCCTCGTGTGTATCCATATATATATATGTGTGTGTGTGTGTGTGTGTGTGTATGTGTGTTTAAGCCACGCAGAGATAAGAGATTACATAAGATCACATGATTTAGATTCTCTCTACAACTAATCGGCAGGATTTTCAGATGTGACTGACCTCCGTCTCTGCAATCAGAATCATAAATCATGAAAAAAAAAACAGATTTCAGATCTGCTGCTCAAACATCAGGTTTTCC